CTTTTTTGCTTCCCCTGTACATGTAGCAACGCTTCATATCAATTGTACTTCATAAATGAAGCGATAAGAGTACCAGCGTCGATGTGACCGTGAAGCCATTTGTGGGCTGGGCGGTTGCGATGGGCCTTTGGCTCGGCATGTTGCACCTTACAACGAACTAGGCGCTATAACGGTGCCCTTGGTAGGAGAAAGCGCCACACGGCGTCTGCTGAGGAGGACAAAATTCTTTCATGCTAGGCGTATCGACCCTTGACGATTCATCGTGAGGCTTTCTCTCGAAGAAAATTCATTCACCATTCCGAGGTCCGAATGTGCATAAGTCGGGTTATTAGAAAACGAAAAAAAGAAAAGAAGAGAAAAAAGAAAACGAAAACGGAGCCAAACAGACCGTAGAACCCTTCCACGGATCCAGTACCAATGAGCCGAATTTGGAGAAATCACGGGCGTTGTTTACTTAGGTAGGATCAGATTCAGAGTTATATTCGTCATCACTCACTACGAGACTGTCAACTGTCAACTGTCAACTTAAGAAGTCCTCGGAACGAAGATGGGGTTCGATTTGACCCAAGCAGATCGTTCAAAATAATTGTGCAATAGGCTAGGGAGAAAATTTTCAGGTCATAAAGGCTGTGGGCACGCTGCTGGACGCGGGGGTAGTTGCCAACGTCACTGATGAAGAAGCTGAGTTTGTTCTGACCAGAGGTCCTCTCGTAGCCCTTCCACCGCTAACGCTGACGACAGCCGCTCGCCTCCAGCAGTCGCGCTCACTGCCTTCGAGGACGAATTTGCCCTTACTATCCACCTTTTCAGCTCATCGCCAATCCACCACAGTTCTTCTTTGGGGTAGCAAGAAATTTCGCAGTCATACACGTGGGCTCTCCTACTCCTGGTGAGCCAAAGCGTTCTTTTATGCCACTGAAAACCCCTCATGGGCGCCAGCAGCCTCGGGAGTTCATTTGAAGGACTTCCTGTGCACAGTCCGACCTCCAATAAGGATGGGGTTGCTGTGCTTGGATTTGGTTAACTATCCACTTCATCCTTTAGTCCTAGACAAAAGAATTCGGCTCTGTTACGGCTCTGTTACGGCAAGCTGGATCCTGCTGAAGTAGTCCTTCAAGTGCCTCTCAAAGTTACTAGCACCGTTTTCCAATGTTATGACTTTAAAGGAAGTGATTATTTGAAGGGGTATTGGACATGAAAAACCTGTAGTTCAGTTTGCTACCGGTACTTCGGCGTGTCAGTGGGAGGGGCTGGGTTTTGCACAGCGCCAGCTTGTAGTCCACCAATTGTTGAAAGGGAGAGGAACAACAGTTGTTGGAAATGGGGCTGGCGCTGCGGCGAACCCAGCCCTCTGACACGCCGTCCGCACCAGACAAGTTTGTATTTCTCCAGGAATGAACTGTGTAACACATGCTTTTGTACGAATAGCCAATCACTCAAAATACAATGTGTATGGAGTTGAGCGAAGTTGGGAAGGTCTTGCTGAGGGACGGTTCAAGGTTAATTTTCATTCATTGTGGTACCGGGGCCCTGTTCATCGATGGGGGCATTTTGCACTTTCACTGCTCCACTAGTTCCGGTTTACAAGTCTCACTCTGGTGAAACCTGTGAACTCTTGTGAAGCTGGAGCAAGCTCGTCGAGCTACCATGATGAAACCTGTCAACTCTTGTAAGCTCATGAAATAGCTCTCTAGATGGCTGGACACGTCGATGGGAAGTAGCAAAAGTGCAATATGCCCCCTCCCCCGTCGACAAACTGCGCCTGGTACCGGTTTCCGAACTGAATGACTTTGCCCTGTAGTACAGCTAGTCCATACTTCTTATGCTTTTAACGTCAGGAGCTTAACTGGGGGAACGTCACTGGATGGATGTGCCGTGGAGGTTCTGAACTCGGTTCGAAAAAACAACTACCCACGGATCTGGAAAAACTTGCCACTGTGCTGGGAGAGCAGAATATCGAAGGATTGCTAATTGTGGGAGGATTCGAGGTTAGATTGTATACCTTTGCTTTATCCGACGCCTTGTCCATGAAATTCGACGAAGCGTCGATCGTCGATCATTGTAGAAGCGTGATGCGAAGGCAGCGTTCACACTTCGCAACGACGCATGTCGACGCGCTACGAGCTCAGCTGCGCCAAAATGCTACAGAGGGAACGCAGCATAGGATGGCTCTCGATCTGTGCTAGCCATTACTGCTTTGGGAGAGTATAGGAAAACAGGAAGGTGTGCGCCATCTAGTCAGACAGTCTGGTACCCTCCCATTGTCCCATACTCTCTCAAAGCAGAGCGGCCTGCGCCAATCGATACCCATCTATGGCTGGGTATCATCAAAGCGGGAATGGTAGCGCGTCGTACCCCTTCGACGCGCGTCATCGCAAAGTCGAACGCTGTCTTATTGTTGTTGTATGCGTACAGATTCGAGTGTGTCGTTTAGGCTTTCCAATCTGCCCTGGTTCTGAATGAAGCCCGTAACAATTATAAAGCGTTCAACATTCCAATTGTTGTGTTACCTTGCTCTATTGACAACAATGTACCTGGAGTAAGTTATGACTTACCCTTAAAAAGCTGATCGTGTAGGCCTCGACGAAAGAGCACAAAAAATTGAGCATTACAGAGCAGGAGGTAGACTAAGAAGGGACAATAGCGGCTTATATCCTTGGAGCTTTGTGAGCATCCGTTATGGCGCGACTCTCGCTGGTTGCTCCTATCTCCCTCGCGCATGAGCCCCTCCAGTCTCACTGGATAACCCTTGAGTTGTTTCGTTTTCGGTACAGGTTTATTATGGAAACGATGCTGAGAATACACTCCCTTGGCTCAACTCTCAGTTTGCGAATGCTGAACAACTAGCAACCTTAAAGGACCCTTAGAGGGTACTTTATTCCGGGACATCCAGTCTCGGATACTGAATATTATCATTTACGTGGTTTCATGTCCAGTTTTCTCCCTTCCCCATTGGCGTGTCATCT